CGGACCCAGCAATCTGTGTTTTATAAGCCCTGAGATTCTGGTGTTTGTTCATGATTGGGAACCACTGCTGGGTGTCTTGAGGTGTTGTAGGGTCAGCAAACGATGTCAGTTTGCTAAGATGGCCAATATGAGCTTGCTGGGAAATGCGACCGACTAGCATGTTGTCTATGTCAGTCTTCTACTTAAAACTCTGTAAACTTCCACTCTTCCTTTTTGAGGACAGGCACTCCTCAAAAAAGTGGAGTAATGCATTGCATGCAGACCTTTGGGGCCAAATACCCAATGTATAGTTTTGCCTTTAATGTCCAAGTGCTCCAAGGCAAGTCCCAGACTTTTGGAGGTTGTTTTTGAAAAAGAGATGCAAATATTGCCAGTTCTGTTGTTGTTTCCCTGATGCCTGGCAGTGTTTGGGAAACAACTTGATTGCTAGGTCTTAGCCTCAGGGAACCACAGCTGCTCTTTGCAGCTCCCTGCAGACTTTTATACCAAGCACGGATTGCTTCAGGGAAAAACTGGGGAGAACAAAACAAGAAAACATCAGTGTTGTTTTGTGGCTACCTCTACCTTACTTTTCTGGAGTTGTTTTGTAATCACAGTTTCTTTAAAAAACAAGGCAGAACCCTGTGGCATCCCAGGCTGCTCTCTCCAAGGCTAGTCCTGGAGTGGCCACTGGACTTTGCAAGCCTGTGTAGTTGCTACTGCGAGAATATATGCATTTGAAAATATGTAAATTGAAAAGGAAGGAAGCTTCATTCTTCCTAAGGACTCCCAAGATGGTAATCTGACTTTTCAAAGATTGAGTATGGCACTATTAATGTTTCAGCACTTCAGGGCTTTTCTGTAAAATATTTTAATGGGTTTTTAATTTATCGCAGTTCCTGATTCTCAGGGTTGAGGCTGGGTCACTGCTGACCCCCTAGACCACGGTGCTCATGGGGACTCTGGTGCTCTGGTGAAGTGGAAAAGAGCAAAGGACCTTCTGGGGCTGGGTTCCTGGCACTCACTGGTTTCCTGACTCTAAGTGGTTAAGAGCAATGCTGTTGTCCAGACGGGAGGCAAGGCCCTGCCTTAATCAGAATTACCTAGGTCATCTGGTAGAAAATCAGATTCTTGGGGCCTGGTTGAGACTCTGGACTGTGTTGCGGGACTGTGGGGCACTTCAGGCGGGCCCTAGCAGCACACTTCGGTTGCACCCGAGGCCGTGGTGATGGATGCTGCCACAGTGTGAATAAGGAACCATGGCAGGGAGTGGGGCCAGTGACGGTGTTGCCGCACTTTATTTTTTATTTTTTTAATTTTAAGACCTGCACACATCATTTTAATGCATTCACTTTTTACTTACAAGGTCTCCATTATGTTGGCTCCCCCTTCCTTTTTAAATCTGAGAACCTTCTTCCTAAAATCATCTCAGTTTGGCTTGAAATACATTTTTATGAATGTCCTTGTAGAGGTGATAAACTTCTGTTTGCCTGAAAAGATCTTTGTTTCACTCTCATTTTTGAAGGATAGTTTTTCCCAGTATATAATTCTAGATACAGTTTTTGCCTTTGAGCACTGTTCTGGATAATTTATTTGGATATCTATCTTCTCTTCTGGTGGTTTAAAAATTTCTTTTAATTGCTGTATTTTTCATTTCTAAAGCTGAGAGTTTTAGGGTTACAGAGCTTATATTTTATAGTATATATATATGTATATAATATACATTTTATAGTATAAATACTGAGTATGTATAAAAAATACAGTATATATAGTTTATATAGTATTTTGGTTAGAACTATAGAGCTTATATTTTATAGTATATAAACGTGTATGTATGCATGCATTATAGTATACACACATATATACACTATGCATTTTATTGTATATGTACTACAAACACATGTAAAAACTATAATATAGTTTATGTAGTATTTTGCTTATAGTTACAGAACTTAGTGGGTCTCTTGGACCCTTAACAAAACACAAACACAAAAACATTCTGCAAACCACCGTGGTAGTTTGTCCTTTATTTTTGGATACTTTAACATTTTAGGAAGACAAGCAAGACAGCACTAATGTTCACACTCTTAGAGCATTGTTTGACAAACTTTATGTCTTTGTCAGAAACTGCATCTTCTCCAATGTGAATAAAAATTAAAGCGCTGGTCTCCCTACTCCCTGCTGGTCGTTCAGGTGACTTGCCCTATCTGCACCCAAGCTACTGAATACCATAATGTGATATTATGGAATGCCTTTCCACCCCATCTTCCCTTTCCTTCCAGAACTTGCTGAAGATAACTCCCCTAGAAAGCCTCCATCCACTCAGCCCCTTCCTGTGTTTCTCCGTGCTTACTGGTCCAGCCTGTCTGTACTGTGTGCCTCTGGAATCACAGACCTGGAGATAGGACATGACCGCAACATCATTTGGCCTAGGGTTTCCCTCTCTCTAATGTGTACTATTATAAGATTAACTCCTATCTTTGAAAAATTATGAAATTTCACAAAATAATAATTTGGATTACTACCTTCATTTGTAGACTTGAAAGCTCTGGAAACCCTGGGCTATGTTCCCCTGTGGCCCATGAAGTGTACTGCTGCCCTCTCAGCTGAGAAGGTGTAGGTCTCCCCATTTTCCACATTCCTCATTGCCCTGTACCTCACACCTGCCTCATACCTGGCCTACTTTGCTCAGTTGCTTTATCTGCCTGGTCATTGTGAGTGCCTTAGCTTTTCCAGTATGAATGAGAAAGCGCAGGGTCAGAAAGGTTAAGTATCCTCAACAAGGGCTTGCAGCCAAAACTCAGTCAGGTTAGCTTAAGTCAGAAGAGTGTCTGGTACAAGGTAAGCACTCAGAATTTTTCTATTAGCGTATTGACTGGAAAAATACTGAGTTCTTATGATACGAGTTCTGTAGAGGCAAGCCCTGCTACTGTGTGATCTTGGGCAAGTTTCAGAAAGTCTGTGCCTCATTTTTCTTATCTGCAGTATTGAGCTTATGAGTGCTAGGAACTTTGTTGTAAGAATAAAATTAAATGAATTAACTGTTGTGAAATATTAAAACAATATCCAGCATGTGGTGAGTTTTTAATAAATGGTGATATTTTTATAGAATGCAAAAATTCTATTTCAATTGTCGATTCATTTGTTGGCTCAATAAATCTATATTGAGTGCCTGCTGTGAGTGAGCAGTTCTATGAAGTTTTGCAGTATAGTGATGAATAAAACAGAGAGGTTTCCCTTACATCATGGAGCTTAAACTTTAGTGAGAAAGATGAGTTAAGTAATTGATAAAAGAAAGTTTATGGGTTATTATAAGAGCTCTGGAAAAAGCAGTAGGATGATGTCATTGAGAGTCACTGGGGATCCAGCTTCAGTAGGTAGACAGGTCAGCCTTCTTGAAGTGGCCATTGCCTCTAAGATTCAGTAACGAGAAGAAGTCAGTGGGATAAGGAATAGGCTTGTGGCATTCCAAGAAGCTGGCAAAGCAGTGCGCCAGTCCTAAGGCAGGAAGATACTTGGCTTTCTGGAAATGGAAGGCTGCTGTATTTGTGTTAGAATTGGTGGCTGGGCTGGTGGCTGTTGGTGGCATCAGAGAAGCAGAAAATGACCAGATAGATTATGCAGAGCCTTCTAGGACATAGAAAGAAGTTTGGATTTTATCCCAAAGATGACAACCAACCTCAGCCCATTTATTTTTGCTATGTGACTCAGACTTTTGGAAAGGCTCTGCGAGCCTTGGAAGTGTCCCTTGGGTCTCAGGGCTTCTTGAGGCTCAGAGGACGGGGCTTTATCATGTGGACTTAAACCGTGGTCCTTGGTCAGTGTCAGCATTTCTGGTCATTTGGTGGAAGTGCAGAATCTCAGCACCCACCGCAGAACAACTGAACCAGACTCTGGGGATGGGACCTAAAAGTCTGTATTTTAAAAAGCTCTCCAAGTTATTCTTATGCACACTTAAGTCTGAGAAACACTCATTTATAATATAATACATTGGGGCAGATTTCTATAGGAGTTGGGGCTGTACTCTCTACAGAGGAATGGAAGCCTTCCGTGGGAGCTCAGGGGATGCTGTCAGCCACTAAGGGAGACAGCTCGCCAGGACTGGGCATTGGCGCCAGCATGAGACATCATCCATGCATGTGCATACCCTCTGCCCACAGCACATCTTTGGTGTTGATGGCAGATCACCATAAGGTCGTGGTAAAAATCATTTTAATCCGGAAGCTAAAGCTGAAACTGATAGTTTAGGCTATTTAGAATAAGTGTGCTTTACCAAAAATGACAGAGAAGCTGAAAGGTATAAGTGACTTGGGAGCATCAGTAAATGACCTGACCCTGTGAATGAAGACACTGGAATCCTGAGATGTTAAATGGCTTTCTTGGGGCCACACAATTGATTGGTGACAATGGTGGGTCCAGAATTCAGACTTCTTCACTTCGGTGCCTTTATGTTACATAGTATGCTCTCTCTTGATGGAAATACCTTTGTGAGTCTTGCTCTTTATGTAATTCATACACATTGCTAGAATTATTTTGGAGAAAAAATTGTTATAGTTCCTACTTTTACTAGTTTTGGTATTCATTATGTTTTTAAAAAGAGTTTTAATTTATTATTATTTAATTCTTTTATGTTTTTTCATCTTCTGGAAAAAAATAATTGATTAATAGGAAATGGTAGTACATTAATCCATGTAAGATTTGAGTTAAAACTTATTGTTCTGAGCATTTTATAATGGGACATATTTTGGTGATGTCAGAATATGTAAAATGTTTGACAAAAAGTCTGCAATAAACAGCAATCTTTCAATGTATGTATTGAAGTAATTGGTAAACATATCTTTCAGACAGTATTTCCGGTTCTTATTTTACAGCATCACACTTGATATTGACATCCCCTCCTTTGAAAGGTGTTTTCCCCTACCTCTAGGTTCTATGTCTGTCTTGCTGTTTTCAAGTGTAAGGAAGTGGTGGTTTTAGAAGGTACATCTTAGTTATGTGTAAAAAATATTGTTGTGTTGCAGTGTTCCAGGAGACTTTGCTGGCAATTCCAGTTTCCAAACGGAACATTTGGGCAATGGTGAGGGCTTCAGTCCCTTCTCTGATTTGCTGTCAACTGTGAATGGGTGGATGTGATGCCTGCTGGCTGACAGGGTGAGTGAATATTTATGATTACTCATCTGAAAATTCACAAGACAAAAAGTCAACTGAAGAGATCCTACACAGTGCAGGAAATTGATAAAGCCTTAAGTTGATCAGAACAATGGCAGTGAGGATGAGAGATTCTCATTTTCAAAGGAGGGACAAACTGTCATTGTTTTCTGCTGTAATCTTTTTGGATAACCCCTAGAGTGATCTAAGGATTTATAAAAGGCACATAAGACACAGGAGAATGTTTTTTGCTTGCATGTTTCTTTTAATCATGCTCTTAAGGGTAGACTGACTAAATTATGAGCCACATGCATAGTTGAAAGAGTATTGTTTGGTGATAAAATGAACCACCATGAAATAAGACTATAATGACATATGTTGAGTTTTGGGGGGATTTAAGTCTGATTTGTTCATTGAGAATGACCCATCCCAAGCGTTCCGCATGATTAGGAGTCTTGAGGAAGCTAAAGGGTTGGGAACTTCGAATGCTCAAAGATTTTCAGAAAGACTGAAGAGCATAGTTTACTTCATCAGGTTATTTATTGTAATTTTTAGGGGGAGGTTAGAAATAACATGATGATCTTTTTCTGTTAATGTGTTATCTGTACTTGAATGCATCTGTCATGTTCATCAGAAATTGATGGCTCCTATGTAGTAATGAATGAGGCACTGTGACTTGCTTTTTACCAGCAGGCCAGGTCTTTTGGGTAAACACTGACCTCATTCAGTGGTAGGTTTGTGATAGAATGAAGTCAACAGTCATGGAAACTGTTTGGTTTTAGGTTTTGTATTGAATAGCATTTAATGGTAAGAACCATTGGCATATACTTCTTCTTTGTCTTAGTGGACTTGTATTTGAGATAGATTTGAATTAATGGAGGGAAATAAAATGAAGTTGAAAGAGCACCATATCGGAAACTGGGAGACCTATTAGCTACTTGACCTGGGGCAACTTAGTCTCGGTTTTGATTTCCTATTTTTACAGTAAAGCAGATTAGAGTGTCCTATTTGTAAGGCTAACAGGCCCTGTAAGTTGTCTAAATCCTCTCACCTTGTAAGTGCAGCGGCTGAAGCCCATCGAGTTTGAGGTGAAAAGTCCCTGGGCTCCTTTCTTCTTCAATGATTCTTTCTATCTTGTCTCCATTTTAGAGATTGAGATATTCAGCCCATGTAGTTTTAGTAAACCTTTTCTGATAAGTGTTTCTGCTGAGACCTTGTTATGTATTTAGCTATTTGGGCCAGATTTTTTTAAATATATAAATATTTTATTTACTTATTTTTAGGGAGGGGAAAGGAGGGAAAAAGAGAGGGAGAGAAACATCAATGTGTGGTTGCATTTCGTGCATCCCCTGCAGGGGTCCTGGCCTGCAACTCAGGCATGTGTCCTACACTGGGAATCGAACCAGCGACCCTTTGATTCGCAGGTCGGTGCTCAATCCAGTGAGCCACACCAGCTAGGGCTGGGCCAGATTTTTAAAGATTTTTACAGGTAGAGCTTATTTTGACAAATCTACCATTTTATGGATGAAAAAAAAAAGAGCCCTGGTGAAGCAGCTAGCTCAAATGCTACAGACCACGTGATCCGCAGAGAGCTGTTGGGCTCTGAAATCCACGTAGGCCACTTTAACTGACTCTTTGTCCTTTGCAGTCAGTTCTGCTGGACTAGAGACAGAGGAAGCAGTCTTTCTTGTGTTCCTTACAGTAATCTTTCTTTCATTGGCAAGATCTTATAAGGCAAATAGTAAACAGTAACACATAAGGAAAGGATTCCACAATGAAAAGAAATGGTTGATGGAGTCATGGAATTTTAGATGTGTGTTAGAGATCTTTGACCATCTTACTGGGTGGTCCTGGGCAAGCCCTTCCACTCCCTCATCTATGAAGTTCTTCTGAGGTTTTTCCATTGCTACACAGCTGTGCTAGGCTTTTGTGAATGGTCTATAGACCAGTGAGCAGATAGCATATATTATGAAAAGTTATGTCTCCTGGGATCCAGGTAGAGTTGAGAACAAAGCCTGGGTCTATCTCATATATACATTTGAGAATTCATAGAAGTGGTTGGAATTCTGAAGGTATTGAAATAGCAACAAACTCAGGTTTGAGGTTACCTGTCATCTCTGTCTTTAGTATTGAGAGAGTCTGACCTAATCTCACGCTCATAAAATTGATGTATGAAATTTGACAAAACCACATGAATGGATTTGTTTGAGATTAGGTTCATTTTATTCATTAATTTCGTTGGGTAAGACCTACTATTGGAAAAAATCAATCCAAACTACTGTAATGAAAATGTTATCTCCTTTGAATTGAAAAAATGTACTGTTAGGCCCAGTAGAATACCAGTTTATATAAATATGGAAGTACTTCGTATTTATCAGACTGTAATAAAAGCCTTTTCACTATACTGTTCATAAGAAACAGAGGTCCGTGGAACCCAATGAGCTGATTCTTCACCCTCCCTGCTTCTCCTCAGAGCACATCTTCTGGTTTACTGAAAGGAGTAATTCTCTTTCTCCATGACGCGTAACCTGGCTGCACACACTGAGTATTTGACAGCTAGCTTAGCCCTTCTACTGTCAGAATTGTACCCACAGTCCCGTGGCTTTTAGAACTTTACAGTTTATTGAGTAACCAAAAGAAACACCAGTTAATTGTTACAGCCGATAATTTGGAGTCTTTAGGCTTGAAATAAACTCAAATTCTGAGTGAAATGTGTCATGGTAAGTGTCCTCATGGTGGAACAGGGTCATAGGCACAGGGTTAAGCAACTGGAACGACCACTCACTTCACTCAAATGCAAGGAAATGAAATGGTGCGATAGAAGGTTTGTACAAATAGATTATTATGGCAAAGTGTTAAAGTCAGAAAATAGGTAATGTACTCAATTTATGTTGGTGGTAATCATGCCTGCATAACAAATTAACTTGGGGTCAGGCTACAGAGAAAGAGGAGCTAAGCACCTGAGGTCTCTGTAGTGTCATGGTGTTTTCACGTTGCCATTCTCCAGCAGGGAGTCAGCGCTTCCCTGGTGTAAAGCTGTAGTCGACATTGGTACCTGTCTGATGCATATCACGAGACCCCAAGAGTGAAGAGCAGCTAAGTCTGCTGCATATTTAATAGTCACTTAACCACAGTGTTATTAATAAATGTGATAATAACAGCCTCAATTTGCATAGAGTTTCCTTGAGAAGAGTTGAGTACAGCCAGCCAATGTGCTGGCGTATTTTTCAGTCTGTGCCTTGGCATTGCACTGCCCCTGTATTTGCCTTGCTGGTGGGTCTGCTGTAAGAGTGTGAGCATCATGTGACGTTGTTTTGTCACCACTTGTTTTTCCTTATATTCCCACAGTTCCTCTTTTGTTGACTCTCATAATAACATTCCTGGCATTAAATCTACTAGGAAGAGGTAGAATGGGGAAAACAGTTTTTCTGAGGACTTGATAATGGGCTATTTTTTGGCTGGGAGTTTTTGCTTTTTTATAAAACTCAAGAGTGTGGATTTTTTTGTCCCTGGTTTTGAGGTGGGGTGGTAGTGGTGGTACAGCTTCCAGGAAGAGGTTGGGGCAGGTAGCAGGTTTTTAGGACAGGAAAGCTGGCTCATGGGCTTGCCTTCTGAGCTCCCTTATATTGGTAGCTCTCAGTAGGCTAAGCCACTTTGTTGTGCTTAAACTTCCAGTCCCTAACATTTTGACTTTGAAAAGTAATTTTAACAATTTAATAAACTGCATAATATGTTTTATAGGCTGGAGAGAATGATCTTAAGTATTTTGGTCTCTTTCATAATACAATGAGCCTAATATTGGTAAAAATACAGATCTTCACTCATGCCATAAAGAGAGGTGAGATTTAATAAGCAGTTATGACTCCTGGCAGCTGCCTATCAGATTGTATCACTTGGGCTCCAGCATGCGAAGACAGTGTCAACTTACATTTTATCTCTAATAAAGTATTTTTGAGGCATTTATTTTGCCTTCTTTCTGGTTTCCAATGTAATAGAAGTAACGTAATTGGCTGAATATTTTTGCCATAATGAACTGGCTAGGGGCCAGGTGGAAACCATTGTGTAGCTTAATGAAGATCAGAAATTAACATGACAGTTACGTGGAGGTAATGGAATATGCTGGTAATATAGGAATTCAGGATGGATGAAGGGAAGAGTGTCCATCCTTTTCCTGCCCATACTCAGCAGGAGGAGTTTTGAAGATGATGAAAGGACTCCAGCCCCGCACCCTCACTCCCTAGTACCTCACAGCAGTGCACGGCTGATCCAGTCCTGACGTCAAATTCACTTTCACAGTCTTTGGGCAGAACTTTAAGAGAAACTAATGAGTTATTCCATTTATCAGTTAAAAAAGAAAATCCACCAACTACTATTACAAGGTTAAATTCCAATTAGAAGATTGCATTTAATTCCGTAGCTGTAACATTGTTTTAATGAATTCTATTGGAGGTGACAGTTTATGTGAGATAAATTGATATGGTGTAGGTAGTATAAATTCATTGGATAATGTTAAACATGTTACTTCATATATATTAGCTGTGAAATTTATTCCTTCTCTAGTTATGTCCCCAAGGAGGTAGAGTCAGAGGAGAAAAACATATCTTCAAAGAAAAAACTCTTTCTGTCCTTCCTGATACTTACTCTAAAACAGTCTTTTCTCCCTTTTATTTAAAAAATTGTTAAATTTCTACATTAACTGAATTTATGATTCTTGGTGTATGCTATTTATAAAATTGAATATAGGTTTTATGATATAGGAAATTAGTCTAGGAATGAGAATGTGATCCAATTTTGTAATAAAGGTAATCTGCATTTATATTGCAGACATTTTCACTTCTCTCTAAGCCCCTTATGGGATTCTACACACATTTATCTGGACATACATATTCACTGTAAAGTAAACTTTTAATGTATTGCACAAGCTTTTGTTCACATGACATCTACACAAAGCACCAAACCCTGTGCTTAAATCAGTGGTGGCAAGCATTCTTGACACACTTTTG